GAAGATCTTAAATGGATAGTAACTGCTGAACCCATTGAAATGAAAACTATTTGAAAACTATCAACACAGAAGAGGAACTTTGTACCATAACAATATAAAAGCAATAATATATTAACAAATATGTTATATATATGGAGAGAGGAGGGGAAGAAAAAAGAAAGGATAATAGGTGTAAGAGACTACTGTCTTTATTTTCTTTACAAGTGAACTGATACTGTTCAAAATTGAAACGTGTATAAATCAAAAATGACTCCAACCACTTAACTTTCTATAAGTTTTAAAATACACTGAACAAGCTCTTTTAAATTACAATCTTTTCATAAAAGAAGTCCATTCCTTAATTTTAAGAAATTTTTCAATTTCACTTTCCGTCATACTAAATTCAAGTAAAAATAAATTGAATGTTTTACCTAAATGTAACACTTTTTTAACAAAGTCATGTCTGCTCATCTAGTTGTTAATTACTAAACACACAGCAATCTCTGAACTCACATAAGTGCTCTCTGTGTGATAAAATCTGGAGATTTTTATTTTCACTCTGATTAATTTCTTAAAATTTTTAACCCTTTTTACAAAACAGTTATTTTGTTCTTAATAAATACTATAAAATAAAATGCATATTGTAACTTATTATACTATCTTGTTGATAATAAAATTTTCCTTTGTCAATTTGCAATTTGTGATATATTATCACCTATTTTTTCCTACTATTTTCATGTTGAACCAATGAAGTAGGTGGATACTGCTGCCCTCATCTCAAGCTAAGATCTGAAGGCCCTATAGTGGCCCACAGGGCTAGTTTCTTGGGCCCTCGGGATGCTAATTCAGTGCTTTCAGGCATGTTAGCCTTAGACCTTTGTTCGGTGAAAGTAATAAAGAAGTTCTAAACAAACTCAGGGGTTGACTATAATGGGGAACCAGATAACTTTTTTGTTTTAGAATTTTTTTATTTGTTCTTTTTAGTTACACATGACAATAGAATGTATTTTGACATATCATATATACAGGGTGTATAACTTCTCATTATTGTGATGTGGAGTTGCATAGGTCATGTATTCATAAATACACATAGGAAAGTTGTTTGATTCACTCTACACTTTCCCATCCCCATCCCTCTCCCTTTCCCTCATTACCCATGTCCAATCCAGTGTCCAATCCCCACCCCCACAACCCTGCCTATTATGAGTCAGCATCTGCATATCAAAGAAAACATTAAGACTTTGGTTCTTTGGGATTGGCTTATTTCACTTAGCATGATATTCTCCAGCTCCATCCATTTACCAACAAATGCCATAATTTCAGTATTCTTTAAGGCTGAGTAATATTCCATTGTACATGTACCACATTTTCTTTAACCATTCATCTATTGAAGGGCACCTAGGTTGGTTCCATAGCTTAGCTATTGTGAATTGAGTTGCTGTGAACATCAATGTGTCTATTGTCACTATTGCATGCTGACTTTAAGACCTTTGGGTATATGCTGAGGAGGGGTATAACTAGGTCAAATAGTAGTCATATTCCAAGGGAAAACCAGATAACTTTAAAGATAAATAATCCAGTGGAAGAAGATAGATAGCAAATTGTGCCAGGCTCTTTTCCCACTGATGCTAAAGCCACAAACAAAATCAGACATGAAAATCCCAACTCTTGTTCTGACAGCATTCAGGGAGCCACAATTCTTGATTGTTAGAAGATCCTACAAAGTTTTCAGTTAAACCTGTTCATTGTCTAAGTTTGGAAAAGTATCAGTGGAGAAACAACCAGATAACTGAATTTTTTTAAGTGTCTTTTTATTCCCCCACCTACCACCAACTATGAGCAATTACATTAGGGAAGAAGGGAGATCTTTATTGCTCAAGTTAGCTTTGGGTGAGGACAGGAAGTTGCATCGTTTAAAATAGATAAGATTTCTCATCACATAAACATACAATAATGGCCTTCTGTCATTCAGGTTTACATTTATTTTGCTTAAAGTGAGCTCTTACCCTGATGTCTTCCTATAATTGACATATGACCGAGGGCACATTTAAGCAAATATAAGTGCAGAAAGTATCCTCTGTCTTTATAAGAAATCTTCAGACTTTCAAAACAGACAAACTTTACTTTGTTGCTAAGCAACTGTCATGCAACTCAGTCCATCAGACAGTAAATAAATTATGACTTTTACAATGAAGAGAAAACTCTTTTCTCCCTGTTGGTGAACAAGCCACAACTTCCTTTCATGCTATCCTAATCCACCACAGCCCTTTAAAGCTGTTTTACAAACACCAGTGTTTTGGCAAGATAAACAAGCAAATGAATAACACAGCAATGACCCAGATGCCGTTTGCAAACTGCACGCTAAGAAGCATCAATTCCATTTTCTTCATTCCTACAGGCCTGAGAACCTAAGCCCCCAAGCCTGGTGGAGAGAAGGAAGTTTACTTCACACCCACATTCTTCCAAGTAGCAGAATATAAGCAAGCTTAAACAAAGAAGATTATGGAACTTTCTGTCAGCGGGCTCACATCATGGCTACAGGGTCAGGCTTGATTCTTTAGAAGGGAATAAGGGTGATTTCAGTCATGATAGAAACAGACATATGAAGGGACAAGATGTTACAAGGGGGTGAGAACTTTGTGGCTCATGAACCAGATGTGGGCCACATCCACACTGAATGTGACCTGCTCAGTGTTTAAAATGCATTTACTACCGTTTAGACTCTTTGCATAAAAATCTAAGTAGCTGACTTTCCTGGAAACGTCATAAAATAACATTGTTGTTGTTGTTGTTGTTATTTTCAGAGTAATCAGTTAGAATTTGCTTTCAGCAGGAAAACTGGAAATAATCCAAACATCTAACCATAGAAGAAGTAGATTAATTGTGGTCTAGTCCAGTAATGGATTACTACAGACCAGTAAACAGAGAGAACTACTGATATACTCCATAATATGAATGGATTTCACATATGTCGAGCAAAAGAAACCAAATATCAAAGCACATGCTTCCTGGTTCCACATATGTGAAGTTCAAGGCCAGTCTAAACAAGTTCACTTCTTATGGAAGGGGTTTGGGATGATGAAAATGTTCTATATCTTGATCTGGGACGGGTACTGTGAATGCATATATAAAATTTATCAACCTATACACTTTTTCTTGAGCACTTTACATAACTCACTATGCATTTTATACCCTAATAAGAAATAAAAATCAGCTAAAAGAATATAGTGTCAAAGATCAGCTGGTATTAGAAGTGGGGCATGACTTGCATCTAGCCCACCCCCAACTACTGGCTCTTATATCTGGTTGAATCTGAATCTGTGGGAGGTGGAGACCCAACAATCTGTTTTAACAATTCTCTAGCTAGTCTGCTACACTCTGAAGTTTGAGGAAGAAAAAAAAACTGTCCTAGCTTACTATGTACACTAAATGACATGGTAGAAAAGTAGATGTCCTAATTAAACCATCCATGCCCTATTGCCATTCCCCGCAACATAGTCCAAGAAACTCACTGAGGAGATAGTTAAATGTGATTTAAACATTGTATTATTCATGTTTCAAAAACATAACATGGTACTCTGCTAATATGTTGAATGTTTATGCTTAGATGTATACATTTTAAATTTTTAATTTAAATTAAAAGAAGAAAATAAAGAGTAGAAAAATCACTTGGCTTGTGCAAAAAGCTTCTGTCATGTTTAAGTAATGAAACCCCTGGAATGAAATGAGCAATCAGCACACCTTATTCCTGTTTCAATCACCAGACACCTTTGGTGTTAGTATTAGTACAACTAGATCCAAGTTCCTCTCTTAAAAAAAATGAAAAACAACTATATCTTTCTGACTATGGGAAAATTACCAAGACATTAGGCATTCATATGCTGTGAAGATATAAATGGAAATCTATATTTGGCTCTAGAACTCATAAAAATACACAAATTAAGACCAATAAACCCCTTTCCCACTGTAACTTACCTAAAACACCATTGATGGATCTTTTTTTTCTGGGAAGTTATCAACATTTCAAGAAGATATCCCCCAACCACCTACTACGATGTAGCCAAAATGAACACTCTGTGACAAAGGCATTTCTGCATCAGTTCAAAGAGTCAAGGAGGTGCTTACTATATACCTATTCACTGATTAATATCATCTTGAGAAGCAATTATATAATATGGAAACAACATGGAACAATATTGGAAAATAATCAGTAATAGGACAATAGCATTCTCTTTACATTTAGAGAAAAGAATAAGGAGGAGTAACTATCCCCTTTTATCAGATTGATTATTTTTATCAAATTTAAATATGATTTCAGAAAGAGAATGTATGTTTGTGCTTATGTTGGCATTTCAGAATGCCCTCTCATTTAGAGAGAGTAGATCAGGGAGGGAAGGAGATCTGAGAATAACAAAACATAATAATAAAGCAATATAGTGATCGTATTTTTGGTAGTAAGTCTCTGAAAGGTTTTGCTTGATTTCTTATGGTGGATAATAATAAGAAATCAAGTTCAAAATTACTTTTGACTACTAAACTCACCACCCATTTGTCAAATGCATGGTTTGAAAATAAATCAAAAAATTATATGACCAAGGTTTCATGGGCATGCCACCAGGCACTCACCAAAACACCACACTCACAAGCAGTCCACAAGCTTGGTTGGGGTTTGATACTCTGTGGTATTTTAGAATGAAGTTCAGTGGGACAATGCACTAAGGATTGGAGCTTACCATCACACATCATCTATTCTTCTGCCATCCAACCACATCCCAGGAAATAGGTTCTTGGTTCCTGGCTCAGCCATCCTGCTCAGTAATTGTTGTCCTGCACCTGTAGCCAGAAACCTGGGCACAGGCAATAAAGGGTCAAAGCAAGGTGCAGGGGAGTACCTCAGATCCCTGGGAGGGTCTACAGTTGCCCTGTTGGGCAGTCTCCAATTCTCCATGACCAACTGTCCAAGGACATTTGACATTAACTAGCAAATAAGACACTATGATCAAATAAAAGAGAACCATAGAGAAAATGAAATGTTTTTATTTTTTTCTTCTTTCTGAGCAAGGAATCCACATCTTTACTTGTAATCACCCTATAAATGATGTAGTGATTCCCAAATGTGACTATCAATGAGCAAAAAAGCAAGTGACTAAAGCAACGGATATAGGAGAAATAGAAGAATTAATGGGTATGCATCAGAGAAACAGGGAGATAATTATGGGTCAGAGATTAACTGGTTGAATTCCATATTGTTAACATTGAACCAGATACATTATTTTCAGAATTATTTATTTCTGATTAAGAAAGCGACATACACCATAAACCACTCAGATCTACTCAGATAATAACAATGGGAATAGAAATAAATCTACCTTTGAGGCAGCAGCATAGCTCAGGGTGTTGGAAAGTAACAGTATCTACAAAAATCACAAATTACCACCATCCATTCCAATTCCCAGTACTATTTAGTTTGCGTTGTGATTCCAAATCTCATGTTTCTCCAAACATCTCCAGTATGTCAAACCTGAGCACTAGAATTTCCAAACACAATGCAGGTTAATAAAGAGTGAGAACATTATCTTTTTACCTCTGAGTTAGCTACCTCCAGTTTTACCAAAGGATATCTTTTGTTTTCCAGCACTTTTACCTGCCAGAGGATGACGTTGTCTAAACACATTTTCAATGTTTTCTTTTTAACAGTTAATATATTTCCAGGATGCAAGTCCATTTCTTCTAAAAAGTTCCTATGACACCCATTGAAAAGTCAAAAGCAATGAACTAAAAGGGATTGCTATTTTGTTAGAGAAGAACGACACCCTTTGTATTGAAGTAGGGAATTACAGACTGTGGTCACCCTCTGCACAGTGTCTCTTTGTCAAGTAATACATGCTGAAAAAAAATAATACAGATGGGAAAATATTGTGCACTGTCAGATCTTGGAAACAGCCAAAGGATTTTTCCTCACCAATGTCTTGTCAATGACTTTCACATTCTGGCACCCTGAAAAAAATAATGCATACATTTAATATGGAATGAATGCAATAATAATCAGGCAGGTAATCGTTTTCCCAAGGAATGTAAAACTTGACAAATGTAAGGTTTATGATTCAAGGTAGGCTTGCCAAATCTTATGTGGCATGAGACCATTTTTATTACCTAAACAGTCCTTAACACAAAATGACTGGCACATATTTTTATTAACACAAAGAGTGTATTCTTTCTGCCACATTTAATAGAGAGCTCGTGGCTGAAAGCTCTCTTTTAGGATATATGTCTGTACCAAATTAAAATGCAAAGTGAGGATTCACGGGATGGCATTCTTCTTGGGGATGCTCTGTCTAACAGGCTCAAGACAGTAGTGAGCAAACAGTTTAATTTCAGGAGTTCTCTCTTTTGAACAATCTGGATCCTTTGGGTCACACACAAAAAGAATCCCTCTTTAGCTTTGAAACTGGAGTAGTGGATGATTTATTCAAGGTCATTCTTTGCAGCTAGAGGTTCATTCTATGCCAAATGTGAAATCGTCGCTAATAATAACATTTATCTATTCTTTCAACAAATATTTATTTGTTGTTATTTCAATGTCAAGTACTGCAGCAGGCATTGAAAAACTACAGTGAAGACAGCAGACAAAGATCCCTGCTTAACATTTCTTAAATCTGAGAGGACATGTAAATTAAAAAGTGAATCATATGAAATATTATATATAGAAGGTAATGGATGCTAAAGAAAAACAATGGCATAAGAACACTGGGAAAGAAAATTGGAAGTCAAAGGGATGGGAAATGGATTGTTATTTTAAATAGAGCAGCCAAGGTGGGCCTTTGTGGGAAAAAAAAAAAGTACAATTTCTATGTGAAAATGTTGAGAACCCAAGGACGTTCTTCATAGAGATATCTGTGAGGCATCATCCATTAGGAGGAAGCAGCCAATGCAAAATTCCTAGGCCAAGTTGTGTCCAACAGAGAAAAGGGACATCAAGGAGGCAAGTGTGGCCCAGGAGGAATAACCAAGGGTGACAGTGGAGGAAGCTGTGATCACCAAAGCAACAGAGGTCAAACCGCATATGGCCTTGTGAACCGTGGTAAGGACTTCAGTACTTGGCTCTGAGTAAACCAAGAGCTCTTGTTCAGGTCTGATCAGAATATTAATGTGATCCGAATTAAATTATTTGAATTTAAACTGATCATTCAGCTACGATGATCACTAGAGAACCTCAGAAGGGAGGTCAGATGGAGAGGCCGACCAGCAATACCCACAGGAAGAGAGATGATGATGGCCCTCGCAGTGGAGGTGATGAGTGAGGGCAGATCCTCGTTGTATTCTGAAGATAGAGCCCTTGTGGATGTGAGGGAATGAGAACAAAGAGAAGACTCAGGAATGACCCAAGTGCTATCATCTGGATCATAAATGTCCTGGGGTATTCCCTCGGTGTGTTACAGGCTTGGTCTGGAGCCTATGGGACTATTGAGGAGGTAGTGAAAGGGTTAGATCCTTGAGGGCATATCTTCAAAGGGGATATCAAGACCCCTGCTCCTTCCTTTCTCTCTTTCTCTTTCTCTGCTTCCCAGCTGCCATGAGGAGAAAAGTTTTCCTTCCATGGTGCTTCCACCATATGTTCAGCCTCACTCCAGACCCAAAGGTATAGGATCCAGCAACCATGGACTGACACCTCTCAAATCATGAGCTAACATGAGTCTTTCCTCCTTGCAAGTTGATTATCTCAGGTTTTTTTTGTTACAGCAACAGAAAGCTGACTAACACACGTCGTATAAGACTGAGACAAGAGAAACTACAGGTGGAACTGATCTAATGGAGAAAGCTAGCAACTTAGTTTTGAACAAGTGGAATTTGACATGCCACTTAGATAGCCAAGTGGAAGTGTTGACAGGTCAGTGAGATTTATATATTGATATGTTATGAGATGAGAAAGAGCATAATGTAGCACTCACCCTTAAGGTACTCATACCCACCAAAATATCCCTAATAAAACTATCAAGGATAGAATCTAACTGCTCACTGTAGAATCCCTCAGTTCAGAGTGCTCTGAACCAAAACTGAAAATAGAAAGTCATCTTCGAATTTAATGTGTACCAAATGATTCCATTTTCTTCCTGCTCAAAACCACTTCTCTCCATCAAGGAGCCTGACTTAAAGTCCACAGAAGAAAATAAAGATGTAGATGTGAATAAGAGCCTTACCACTCAGAGCCATGGCCAACCGAAATTCTTCCTTGAGTATCTCAAGGACATCTTGGACACCTTTCTCCCCCTAAAGAAGTAAAAGACACAGAACTATTGGGTAAATCAGTTGGACTGGTTTCAGTAATTGCAAAAAAAAAAAAAAAAAAAAAAGCAAATTTGAAATTGAATAGCTTACTTTTCTTTAAAAGTCCAACTATATCACTATTGATTCACCTTGCTTTATACTTGTTTTATATATTTATTTATTTGTCTAATTACCTGGAGGGCTAAGCCCCATATGATGGGTCTCCCCACAAACACAGCCTTGGCACCCAGGGCTAGAGCTTTCAGAACATCAGTGCCTTTCCTTACACCCCCATCCAGGAAGACTTCCACCTTTCCCTCCACGGCCTCCACAATTTCTGGCAGAACGTCAATCTGTGAAGAGATAAGATCAATAGTGTCATGCTATCAATGTTGAATTTTTATTCAATTCCACTTTCAAGGACCACTAGCCCACCCAACCAAGTCTTAAGAGAGAAAGAAGCGGAGTAGGTCTGGGTGAACGATAAAATTATTTCCCCTTGAAAGAAAGAAGTACAAGTGTTAGTAACTGAAACAAAATAATGACCAAAAATAAAAAGCAAATTTGAAATTTAGTAGCTTATTCTTCTTTCAAAGTCAAATATTGGCTTGTTTTACTGATATTCAAATTCTAGGGCTATGATAAAAAAAATTATAATTTTGAAGCAATTTGATCTTTTATAGCTTTTCTTTTTAAAAAAATGTAAATTGATATGTAGAGTGGCATGCTCCTGTAATCCAGCAATTTGGGAGACTGAGACAGGAAGGTTGCAAGTTCAAGGCCAGCCTCAGCAATTTAGCAAGGCCCTCAGGAACTTAGTCAGACTCTGTCTCAAATAAAAAATAAAACGGGCTGGAGATGTGGCTCAGTGGTAAACTGCTCCTGGGTTCATTCAATCCTCAATACCAAAAAAATAAAAAATAAAAACAAGGAAAAAAGAGAAATAAAACAAAAATTATAAATAAAATAAAGTATCTTGTTTACACATTATTACAAATCAGCTGAAATTCACACTCAGATGATACTGCAAGGGCTCTGGTGTATAAAAATGCAAATTGACCAGAAATGAAAAATTTAGTCTTGATTCCCTTGTCTAACATGCTTTGCATACAGAAACATATATTAGAGAATTTTCTGAGAAAATGTTTTCCTTGTTTTTAAAGAGATAAAATCACCTGAGATTTGAAAATCCCCGCCTTGATTGACAATAGATGACTGGCTCAGGTTAACACTGGAGAATACAAGATCCTCAGAGATCTGCTGGGTTGCACTATTCTCCCTTATGCTTCATACCTCTCAGAATTCACTGGGCCAAATATATGTAAGCAGAGATGGCAAAGGGCCATTTCTGGGCACAGGCTTAAGCAACTTCAGGCTTTTCTACTCACTCTTGTACCTTGGTTATTTGTCCTAAGAAGAACACACTCTCCCCCGCCCCAGTAATATTCCCCACTTAGCTTGGACCCCGGGATGTCTTATTCAGGAAGCAGAGCTATCCCAGCCAAGCCAAGCTGGACCTGAAACTTGGAGCACAGCCAGCTACCAGGCCTAGATCTATAGATCCCTGTTAACACAAAGTTTCAAGGGAATAAATGACTGTCCATGTAAATCACTGAGTTAGAGATCTTTTATTTTATAGCATTAAGTGGCAGTATCTAACTGATACAACTGGCTAATTTGATGAGGAGCTTTGCATTTGAAAATTGAAATAGTTCCTGTAGATGAAAATCTGTGAAACTATCCACATCCATCCTCAAATGTTGACTTCTAAAATGAAGCCCAGACTCTACTTAAAATGCATGCTGTAGAAACTACCATACACTCAAGTGCATTTTTTTCCAGAAATAATTGTGCTGAAATCACTAAAAGGCTTTTCTCCTTCTCCTCTAAAACTTTGAGGCTAAACTCAAGTAGATTTTTATGTAAAAGGGTGAAATCCAAACATGGCTACAGAGTTAGAGGAAGCGGAGGCAACTCTTGGCATATGGCCCTTAAATGTTTGGCAGGTAATGTGATTTTCCTCTTTTCCTTTGGTTTTTCAGCCTTGCCAAACATGCTTTGGATCCATTTACATATGTGCCCTTACCTATACATAGTCCTCCTTTTACATTCAAGCAAGTTACATCAACATATAAATGCTACAATTTCCAGGCCATGATGCAAGCCATAATTAAGCATATTTCCCCATTTGAAACCAGAACCAAAGAAAAATATTAGCTATCTTAGGTTCAATACACATTTTCAAAGTCACACAAATCAAGTCTGTTTAGGTTATTTCCAATGCCTAGCATGGCCTCAAAGTAAAGTAATAAAGATACTTAAAATGTGAATCCTGGGTTATAAAACAGAGTCTACGTTTGTGTTCCTGTGTCTTTGGACAAGAATGTTCTGCCCATTGCTGAGCATCTCCATTCTCCCTTTTTCCTTTCAGTAGCTACAGTTTTATGAGATATAAATTACACAAAATAATTCTAATCATGACAGGTTGAATAAATAAATATAGTAGATAAACCCATTATTTTAAGACCCTGTTTAAATTTTCTTCTTTTCAGTTCACATTCCTATAGCCTACATTGTTATTCTTTTGACTTCTAACATTTTAGCAAAACAGCTGAACATAAACAAAATCAGATAAAACCAGATCTTCTTTAGTTAAAAGCAAAGAAGACCAAGTACAAGTCATTGCCCATAAATCTTCCCCTGATTCTGTACCTGACCCTAGCTATCACATTTACTGGCAATCTGAGGTTCCTACTAAGCACACTTAGAAAAAAAAAACTGGGCCATGAGGTTCAGCTTATTGTTTGCAAAATGCAAAAAATGGTAGCCATGATTTCCCTCCCTGTCTTCATTTCTTGAAGGACTATGGTGCAAGGGAATAGGAGCAGAGAGATCTGATCTGGCTTGCTTTCACCAATAGAAGATTAGAAAAGTTGACATTCAGTTCTAAACCTAGATTTTAAAAGACCTAATTAGTTCTAAACCTAGGTCTTTAGGAAATCAGCCACCTCCTGAGAATAAGCCCACGAGAATGTAGGAAGACATGAGGCAACCACAGCCACCCCTACTGAGCTCATCCTACACCAGCCTGCCCTAGTAGACTGGGCAGCTGACCACAGGCACAGATGAGTAAGCCCAGCCAGAAACACAACTCCACTCCCCAGAAGATCTCAGTCCAAATTGCCAACCCACAAAATTGTGTAATGAATAAATGGCTATTGTTTTTTAGCCAGTAAATTTCAGAATGGTTTGTTACACAGCAGAAGCCAACTGATGATGTCAAGTGTTACTCAAGGATGAAATTACATGGGCCTTTTTGTATTTTCCTTTTATTTATTTACTTTTTTTGCTTCTAAAATAGACAAGTGCTGTAGCACTGTGCTATAATCCCAGCCCCATAGACCCCATTTCAAAAGAAAAACATGAATCTCAAATCTCACAAAATATGCCCAATAACTAAATTTTATGAAAATGTTTTGCAATTGAGAATTTTCAGTGGAAAAGAATGTCATGTTTGTAAGTTTGAGGTACTTTGGGTCCACTTAGCACCAAAACAATATGCAGCCAGTGTGCAGTGGCACACACCTATAATCCCAGCAGGTTGAGAGGCTGAGGCAGGAGAATCTTGAGTTCAAAGCCAGCCTCAGCAAAAGCCGAGGTGCTAAGCAATTCAGTGAGACCCTGTCTTTAAATAAAATACGAAATAGGGCTGTGGATGTGGCTCAGTGGTTGAGTGCACCTGAGTTAAATCCCTGGTACCTCCTCCCCCCGCTCCACAAACACACACACAAACACACACACACACACACAAAAAAAATGCAGATTGAAAAAAAAATACTGGGCTGGGGATGTGGCTCAAGCGGTAGCACGTTTGCCTGGCATGCGTGCAGCTCGGGTTCGATCCTCAGCACCACATACCAATAAAGATGTTGTGTCCGCCAAGAACTAGAAAATAAATATTAAAAAAAATTCTCTCTCTCTCTCTCCTCTCTCACTCTCTCTTTTAAAAAAAAATACTCTTAAGATTCAAACATACCAGAGAATCTGTCTTTAGACTCACATTTGAGATTTTAGAAATCAATCTGATTCTGTCATACTATATTCAAACGGCTTCAAGGTCAACCTGGGCCACATTATTACTGTAATGATAAGGTCCTTGAAGTAAACTGGGTTTCTTGTGTGTGTTTTTTTTAAGTTTTTACTTTTTTATTGATTCTTTTTAGTTATGCATTATAGTAGTATCCATTTTAACATAATTATTCAAGCACGGAATATATCTTATTCTAACTCAAACCCTAGTACACCTCCTTCCCCTTCTCTCTCCCCACCTGCTGCTTCCTTCTCTCTATTGGTCTTTTTGCCATTTACTCATAGTTATTTTTAATTAATTTCTTGTGGATATAAACAATGATGAGATTTGCTATGATATATTCATATGTGTACATAGGAAAGTTATGTCAGATTCATTCCACTCTCCCTCTCTCTCTCTTTTTTTTAGTCCTTTTGGATATAGCAAAGACCTGGAAGCAGTTATCAGAAGCAACGTGTTAAGATGAACTGAAGTTAAATTTCTGGCCGAGGGCTCCTAGTGATAACTATTTCTTCATACTAAGGAACCCCGAGATTATTAGAAATGTAGAATAAGAAGAGGCTCAGGCATAAAATTATCCTGCTTCCCCATCTCTCATCCCAAAGGAGAGGCAAGACAAAGATTCAATTAAACCCAAGACCCGATTGCAGTATTCCTCCCATGACATCATGTGACCTCTGTTGTTCTGACTTATGATGTAACCAATTCCTCCGCACAATGAGCCCTTCTGTTCATTTGTTGAAAAGTTCAACACCCCAGCTTCCTTCAAGGCTCTTTGCCACTCAAACTCAAAATCCACACACTGAGGGAAAACCCTAATTTGCCATAAATGAAGTCTTCTCTCTCACATTTCTCTCATCATCACGGACCTTAAATTTCCTCTAAATTAGGAGGCAAAAACTCAAGTATCTCCTGTCATACGCACAGCATGCAAAGGGAGCGTTATTGTTTTTTTTTAAAACAGTCTCAGAGACCACAACTCAAAAAGACCTTTTAGATAAGTTTCCATATCCCCTCAGCCAGAGGAAAATAAACCACACCATTTAGATATTTTTCCCCTTAAGATCTAGTTAGATTTGATTTCAGTAGATTTATATTTTATTTTTAGAAAACAAACTTAATTTGGGCCGCACACTGAGTCTATGTCTTCATACACAAGCGAGGCATAAATCTGAGAAAAAGTCTTGAGCGCTGACCAACTTCTCCACCCTGCTCACAGGACGGCTTCACTTTCCACCTCTATTGACTTGCAGGCAATATTTAATATCACCTAAAAAGATGTGTCTCTAAGAGTAAAGCTGAGCTGGAAAAGGTGGGAAACTTACAGTCTTCGTATTCTAAATCTTGGTATAATCCTGCAGTGTACAGACTTGGTTGATGGAAATCAATAGTACTATAGAAAGAACAGTGCCACAAGCACACCCAATATTCCCCACCCAATTTACTCTCCCCTGTGTCACACTCAACTCATCTATCGATGTAGCTAAATTGACCTGCCTGTTCAATGAAATGATAACCTATGACTACTTGGGTAAATTATTTCTTCTACTCTCTACTCTACCTTCCAGTTGTTTAAATATAGTCCACTAGTCATCCCCATCACAGCCATCTATATCAGAACTATGATTAAATTGTTCTAATAAAAGAGAGAGCAATGTATATGCTGATTCAGTTTAGAAAAAAAATAATGTGATCTAGAAAGACCATCTACATTATTTAATAAAAATATATATTTTTTAAATTTTGTTATATGATACTAGTTTCTTTTGCCTGTGATAAATCAAATGATAATGCATTATGGTTCAAACACAACAAAAGAATTTCATCTGATGTCTAACTTCAAATGATAAGAAAACCAGGATTCAGAGTAGAAATCCCCTCAGCCGCTCAGGTTCTCCTTTTCTCTTTCCTTGGATATGATAGTTATGAAGATCACCTGATTGCTATTCATGCCAAAATCCAATTTATAAGACTCACTGCTGTTAAACCAAGTCTCTTTTGCTGTATATCCAATGACTCATAGTATTTAAGAAACTCCTCCTTTGTCTCTTCAGGCAGGTATATTTCTCAGGACTCCCACATTTCCACCAGACACTGCAAACAGAATGAACTACCTCATATTCCTCAAGCATATCCCACTCTTTCCCATTCTACATGAAAGCTTATAGTTCTAAAGTTGGAAGCTCACTCAAGGACAGGGCAGAGCTGAAAGATACTTGCAACATCATTGCTCATCTATACAAATCTTAGCCAACTCCACAACTCCACACAGGCATCATAAGGAAATGACTTTTTAACACCCTATCCAGAGCTTCTGATCTCAATTCTGGATCATTGATCCATGAAATCTATCCAAAGCTATGTATGTATCTGTCTCATGGTTTAGATATGAGATATCTCCCAAAAGCTTATGCGTTAGACAATCCAAGAAAATTTGGAGGTGAAATGATTGGGTTATGAGTGCCTTAACCTAGATCAGGACATTAACTTAGTTGAGTGTATCTAACTAGGTGGTAAGCTAGGTAGGTGAGGTGTGGCTGGAAGAGGTAAGTCATTGGGATGTGCCTTTGGGGTTTATATTTTGTCCCTGGTATGCAAGAGATCTCTCTCTGCTTCCTGTTGTCATGTCCTGAACTGCTTTCCCCACCCACATTCTCTGGCCATGATGTTTTTGCCTTATCTCAGGCCCAGAGAAATGGAGTTGGCTGTCTATGGACTGAGATCTCTGGAACCTTGAGCCCCAAAGTAAATTTTTCTTCTAATTGTTCTTGCTAGGTCTTTTGGTCACTCTGGTAAAAAAGCTGGCTAAAACTGTCTCCACAATTTTTGATCCAGTTCTCATTCCCTAATCCTTTATCCCAAAATCTGCACTAAATAGATTGCTGGTATCCTTGGCTTTGGGTTTCCTTGAGGTTAACTGCTCTTTGTTATAGATCTAACTTATTGCCACAATTTGCAATCCAGTTTATTTTTTTTGTTTTATTTTTTTGGGGAGGGGGGCAGTACTAGGGATTGAACTCAGGGTCAGTCTTCCACTGAGCCACATCCCCAGCCCTATTTTGTATGTTATTTAGAGACAGGGTCTCACTGAGTTGTTTAGTACCTTGATTTTACTGGGGCTGGCTTTGAACTCGAAATCCTCCTGCCTCAGCCTCCCAAGCTTCTGGGATTACAGGCATGCGCCACTGTACCCAGCCAGTTTAGCTCATTTTTTCATCTAGGTTATGAACTCTAATTTGTCTAGCATAGTGTGTAAAGTATTTAATAACCACAGATTCACACTGAAATCTCCTGGATAGCTTTAAAATGTATTGGTGTCTATGTGCCTCCCGATGATATGAGATTCTGATGAATGGATCTGCACAGTAGCCTGGACATCATGATTCTCAAAAGTTCTCCAGGTGATACAATGTGCAACCAAGATAGTTCACAGGTCAACAGAGCAGCCTGTTTGCTGCTGAATTCTGCTCAACTGGGCCATAGGACATCTATATTCTTTCCTCTTTAATTTCCTTGTGTAGCTTTTCAATTCCCACCCCTAGGAGCTGCAGACATAGCTTGGTAATACAGTGCTTGCCTACAATACACCAGGCCCTGGGTTCAACCCCAGCACCACAAAAATCATAAATAAACAAATTTTTTAAATTCCATTCCCACCTCCTCAGGAAATTCCAATGTATCCCTCTTCCTGACTTCTTGTCATAATTGAGCCTATGATCTCTATCTCCACCAAAGCTTTTTATAATTTCCACAATTTTCTATTAGCTAATCTTTTTTGGATTCTCATTGCTTAATATTTCCTCCCCTTTATGATAACTGCTGAAGTACCTATGATCACAAGAACACCTCTGCTCACAAATGCCTGATTACTTAACAAAGGCTTACTTATGAATTTATGAATAAATGTACTAGATTGATTAAAAATACTCCTATTAATTGATTTCAATTATTCTGTGCCACTGAAAATCTGTGATGTCGCATATCCACACATAGTTCACCTTGTGTGATGACAAAAATTTGCACATAGAATAAGCAGACATAGAGAGAGTCAAAACTGAGATGGAAGTGGGGGCCAAAGAGAAATCTCAGCACTTGAGGAAACTCACGGTGGCTGGCACTCCATCAAGTTGTCGAGCGCCATGATTGGACACCAAGATCCCATCCAGACCATGCTTAACTGCCTTCCTGGCATCATCGCCTGGTGGGGGGGAAAAAACAGCCTATGAAAACTAGGATTTAACAGGTTTGGGTTTAGAGGCTGCAACAATCCAGTTTTTCTATCCATTTATCCTGAGAATTTAGTATATCCTCAAGTTCTTCAAAATTTTCCATTATTCTGTCTAATCTATGTCATTCATCTTATTGTCCCTTAGAGACAACTGCCTAGAGCCCTCTACCTTCTTGCTCATTTCTATATTTGTAATTTTGGGGCCTCATTATCTATCTTCATCCTCCATGACTGCTCCTATTCTATTGGGATTGAAAGTCTTATAGTCCAATACATAATTTTCCCTGTCTCCTCTGTGTTCCCAGAGAGCCCACCTTGAGTTATAATTTTCTATTTTTCTTCAATCAAAATTCTCCCTTATTGTTTTTTTTTCCATAAATTCCTGAAAATTTTTGGCTATTTGTGCTCTTCATCTGTTTAGCCTTGCTGTCATTGATTTATATATGTCAGTAAGAATAAAATCTTGTGTTTGATAAGAGGGTACCTGTATATTTAGTCCAATGAATATCAATTAAAGTGTATTTTCAAAATGGTTCTCTAATGGTATGGTCTTAATGCACTGCTGTCCAATTGAATTCTGGATGAAAATGAAAATATTCTTTATCTGTTCACTTCCATACAGTGACCACCTGCCACATGCAGTAATTGAAATGTGGCACTGTGACTAAGAAACTGAATTTTACATTTATTTAATTTTACTTAATTTAGGCAGTCACGTGTGACTGGTGATTATTATATTGGACAGCTGATGTTTTATAAGCTTACCTATCCTAATAAAGATATACAGTAGGGTATTTTTTTAAGTTTAGATATAGTCATAAATGACATTAACAAGCAATGTAAAATTATGTTGTAAAATGATGTGGTTTGGTGTGGTTATGTACTTGTATGCATGATACCAAATAGAAAAGTCAAATATTTTAAAAAATCACATATTGAAATATGTGAATTATGATACTATGTGAACCCCATAATTGAGCATGGATGTATTCTTCCTACTTGTATTTGATTTCTGCCACCATAGAATATTATTAATAAATAGATCCTATACAGAATGAAGAAGTGATTGACTTCTTAGACTAAGTCATAGGACTACCTGAAATTTTTTATTGATGTATATTAAGTAAGTAGAATGCTGGGTTTCATTGTGACATTTTTTCCCATATATAAAAACATAATTTGATCGATATTACTCCCAGTATCTTTCTGACAATCCCATCCTCCCTTCCCAAGATCCCTTTCCTCTACTCTAATGATTGTTCTTCTACTTTCATTGAATCCCTTTTCTCTCCTAGTTGTTTTCCCCCCTCTTGCTTCCACATAAGAGAAAACATACAATAATTTCCTAAGTCTGACTTATTTTGCTCAAAAATATGGACTCTATTTTCCTGAAAATGCATAATTTCATTCTTGTTTATGGCTAAATAAAAGTCCATTTTGTTTGAATGCTATATTTTCTTTACCCATTCATCTCTTAACATACACCCAGGCTTCTTCCATAACTTGGTTATTGTGCATTGTGCTGCAATAAACATGGATATGCCTGTATCTCTTGGATAAATATGAAGGAGTAGTACAGCTGGACCACACGGCAGTTCTGGTTTTAGCTTTTTAAGGAACTTCTATATTGATTTTCAGAGAGACTGCACTGATTTACATTCATACCAAAAGAGTTCCTTTTTCCCCCACATCTTCATCAACATTTATTACTATTTACATTCTTGATGTTTGTCATTCTAACTTGAGTGAGAGATAATTTCAGTGCAGTTTTGGTTTGTATTTCCCTCACGGCTAAAGATATTGAGTTTTTTTTGCATATAAATGTTGATCCTTCATATTTTTTAATGTCTGTTTGATTCAGTTGCCCATTTGTTGATTGGGTATTTGCTTTTTTCAATGTTGTGTGTGGGGAGGGGTATTTGTTTGTTTTCATTTTTGTTTTTTACTTCTTCAGACATTATTAGAAGAGTAACTGGTGAAGATTTTCTCCCACTCTGGAGTCACTGTTAATTCTTTACTTTGCTTTGCAGAGCTTCTTAATTTGATGCCATCCCATTTATTGATTCTTTCTCTTATCTCTAAGTTATAAGAGTCCTAGTCAGTGGTTTTTGCTGAAGTATATGTATATGTTGAATTGTTTTCCCTATTTCTTCTTCTAACAGTTGCAAAATTTCTGGTCTTATACTTCTGTCTTTGATCCATTTTGAGGTATCTGTATAGGATTAGATATAGGAATCTAGTTTCATGTTTTCTATATATGAATATCCAATTTTCCCAGCACTGCTTGTAAAACAGGCTGTTTTGTCTCCTTTCCAAAGGTTTTGGAACCCTTTGTCAAAAATCAAATGACTGTAGTGTAGGTTATTCTCCCATCAGACTGGTTTGTGGAATAAATAAATTGAGTGTTTGGAAAGTGTCTGACACATGTTGAATACTCAGATGATTATGAAATATTACTAATATAGTCATCTGGTAGTGCAGGGAATATAAACTAAGAAGATGAGTTAGGTAGAGGAAGATTCATTTGCTGGATGCTTTGGGAAATTTATTTGTGTTCTGTTTATAGCAATAAAGTTTCATGCTAGTCTGGAGGATGATTATAAAGTACCCTGCATTTGGAGTGTTATTTAAGAAATAGATTGGTGTTTTCCATTATTTCAAATGGGTTTTAATGTTCTCCAGTCAGTGTAGGACTATAAGGCCAAACAACAACAGAAAGATTTTCTCAGGGGATAGAAGCAGGAGCTTATAGAGAAACGAAGACAGTAATTCGTGAGTGGATATAAGCTCTTTTAATTAGCTGCTTATAAATCTGTCTTTTGCACTTAATTTTTTTTATTTATAACCTGGACAGGAAAGCAATTTTGCCTTCATGAGAAGGTCAAAAATATTCTGACTTAGCAAAATATTCATGAATCTTTGATATTTTCATTAACCGTCATAGTTTACTGGTTTGTCATTCCTTATGTGTTAATTTTCCATTAAATTACACTGATCATTTAAGAAGCAAAATAATTGATAAATATTCATACTGTTTTCTATCTTATTAATATACTATTTTCATATTTAATCTAAAATATCAAAGTGAAATATAGGTCTCAAGATTTACACTAAAGTCTTCTGAACTCTAGATAACTGGGCAACAATTTTGAACACAATTGAGACAGCCTGAGTAAAATATTATTTAAAGTGTCTTAAATGAGCAAACCAACCATGAAAAGAATTAATTAAACAACACTTCCGTAGATGCAAAAAAAAAAAAAAAAAGCCACAGTTCTCGGTAGATAACCTCATTTAAAAAAAAAAAAAACTAAAAAGGATTATGCCTTTGCTCATGAGTCATTTGTTTATTAGTGTGAATTCTGGCAAAGACCAAATCCTGTCTGAAGTACACGTTTGGAGCTTGTGTTGATGTTCTCCAAGGACCAAGTTTAACCACAGCAAGGGATTACATCTTGCATTCCAATGTGCATCCACTAAAATGTAATTCTTAAAATGGTGGTAAGGATGGGATGTTTCACCTAGATCTTTCCAGATGCTCATGAGTTTATGTTCCAGTGAACATAATCTGCATACTTCTGGTAAAAGGAAAATGAAAGGAAAGGGATGACTCTCAGTCAATCCATGTGATTCTGGAAGAAGGCTTGTGACGTGAGTACTGGATTTCCCAGAACTCATCCACCTTCCCCTCCTCATCTCCAGATTTTGCATGAGCATTATTTGATGTAGTTGCTGTTATAGAGATGATTGCTGTTTGCTAAATAAATGAAACAAATAGTTACAGGAAAAACTGGACAATATAAACTTACACTTATAAATAACTAACTTCTTTTCAAATGCCAAATGCTCTATTTCTTTATCTTGCTTTTTGAGTTCTAATTATATAGGCTTAGAGTTTTTACCAAGTATTTTATCCAGTAAACATTTGGGCTACCTGATATGTGCAAAACATTGTGAAAACATGTAAAAATGAGCCAGATAATCTATATACACAAGAAAAAAGAGAGGTGATGATGGTGGTGGTGGTGGTGGTAGTAGTCTTGGGAAAAATGATTACAGACTAAAATTCTAGAAGCAAAAGTATTTTTCAATGTAATCCATGATAGTGAATTTAATGTAATGGATTTGCATAATAACCTATTGGGCAAAAAATAGAAAATGACTTAAATTGGGAATCCAGAATTGAAAACTGGGTTCAATAAAATGACCTCATTTTTTATAATTATTTCTTATTTAACTGAGACCATTTGGGAACTAGACTAAAAGTTTGTTCTTTTTTAGTGATTTCAAGCCAGATCCCCCAGGCCATATTAATCTTCTAATTCAATTTTATCTTCTCATTCCCTTCCCTGACAATCATTTCTTACCTGGACAATCACACTTGCTGAATGTTCTTCCTGGCCACCTCCATCCATTAGGTCAATTTTACAAAACATGATTTTTCTAAGGTGCTGATCTGATGAGGTGGCTTCCCTGATTCAGATGCTTCAGTGATTCTCAACCACCTTAAAGTCTACATTCCCTAAAATGCCTTACATTTTATATAAGTTGTTACCCATAAGTGCTTTATTCCACTACTATTTCAGTCTGTAATACAATCTGTTGATCCATTATCAGAGTGAAATTCAAGTATCTTCATTCTGAAATGAAACCTTTTCTAATCTGCTCTCCTAATGGTCCAACCATTTTAAAGCCACTGCCTTACACTGCCTAGTATATCTTTAATGTTTTATACTTCAACATTTTAAACAACCCCAAATGCATTTTTATATGTTTGTCTCCTGTAACGACAGGCTCTTCTTTAAGCCAAGCATCTTAAATTATAACCATAAAGACTTTTAGCACAAAATAAGTACAATAAGTGTGCATGGAATGAATGAATGAATGAATGAAAAGAAGCAAGAATCAATGAATAAATGACACAGAACATCCTTGTAATGTTCTTTAGTACCTAAGGTTGTGTGGCTACAGAAAGTAGGGGGACAAGATGGTTGCAAATATAAGAAGTGAAACTATTGTTTAAAGGTGTATGTAAATCAGAATTTAATCACTATGGTATAAAACCCATAGAAATTTTGAATTCAGATAATGATCAATAGTAAACAGTATGACAATGGATTTTTCAAAAGCAAAGATTAAGCTAGACCCCTGTTTAAACATATCTCCAAAAGCTGCACTGAGCCCATTCTTTAATTTAATTTTTTTTTAGTGCATAGATGACACAAAGTAGGCAGCATGCTTAGAGATTTATAAGTAGAGACCATGTGACACACATTCAAGTAAACTTCATGAATAAAGTTTGATTTGTTAGACTCTGAGATAAGTTAATACACTCTCTCATCCCCAAACCACTTACTCAAACATTTCTCTTTTTTTCAAGTTTTTTGGGTTTTTTGTTGTTGTTGTTGTTGTTTTGTTTTTAGCTATCTATATAACCATGCTGGAGGTGGGGGGGGGGAAGCAAAATGTTTTCAAAGAAAACTTTTTTTTTTGAGAGAACACTCCAAAACATTGGCACTCCAAAGTCATTATAGTGATTATAAATCCTTGTGGGACTTGTATACATGTGGATTCTGGAGTAAGAATCAACTTCCTTACTATCCATGGGTTGATAATTGAGAATTATCCACCATTCTTCACAGAGAGATAATAGGAATTTTGCCACAGTCAAATATTAGCCCTGGCCATTGGTACTTGGAGGTAGCACAGGAAAAAGAGAAAAGACTCTTAAAACAACAGGTCTGGCTGTTCTAGTTCCTTCATTTGGGGCATCTTTGGTCTAAGAGCAACTCTTGTATCTTTTAGGTAAAGCCATGTATTCCTGATGCTCTATCAAGATTTTGCCAAGTTCCATGACTAAGTAATGGCTCCAGAACAAGTCAATGACACCACAAACACTTTGAAAAAGGTAACTTCTTACTTACCAGCTTTGTTTCTGAATATTACCTAAGAATGAGTAGATATTTACTCACTAACATCAGAAGAGAGAATTGAGAATTGGAATGTGTCTCTTGATAGTTCTTTCTGATTGTTTTCCCTTAAAAAAAAAAAAAGGCATGGCCATATCCACTAAAGTTAGCATGGATTCCAACTGAGAAATAAACAAACCTCTTAAGATGCCCTTTGCAACAATAGGCAGTGACGTCAGTCCCCTCAGCCACTCAATATCTTTCCAACTGATGGATGGGTCTATAGCTTTCGCCACGTATGCAGCAAGTCCACTGTCATCTCCAAAATTTTCCGTAGGAGAAAATGCTAAATCATTGGTTTCAAAATTCTTCATCCTGAAATAGTTACATAAAATAAGAAATTCTCAAAGTCACAAAAATATTTATGATGATTGAGTCAATGAAAAAAAGAAAAGTGACTCTTTTCAAATCAATTAGCTATTCATTCCTCAATCACTCACTGAAGGTTGCTTGCAGTTATATTTTCCATGTTTTGCTGTAGGACTCTAGGCTAAATGTGACAATTCAGTGGTCTTCATTGATTAACTAAAGAGTATGTGTGTGTGTGTGTGTGTGTGTGTGTGTGTGTGTATTGTTAAACATTTGTATATTTATAAGCATTTTCAAAGAAAAATATGTGGCCATGTTCAAACATTTCCTGTTTAGGCCAGTTTATGGATCTAAACAATAGACTTGATGTTATTTTCAGCCAGCAATGCAAATTAATCATAATGAAAAACATTTGCATGATGCTTTATAACTTACAAAGGGTTTTTATATATCTCTATGTTCACATTTCTTTAAAAAACTTTTAGAAAGTAAAATTGACTCTTTGTCTCCCATTTTACACACACACACACACACACACACACATGAAAACAGAAATGTAGAATGAGTTGCCCCAAGAATAAAGATAGCTAATGACAGCATTTGGGCTGCAACCCAGGTCTCTCTACTGAACTCTTGATTCGGTTCTCTTTGCTTTTAAAAGTTGCATCCTGGCTATTACAACTGGCCTCAGGCAACCTGACAATGCCCTAGGGTCCAGACTAAAGAAGGCTGGAACTGCAATAACATGTGTTAATATTTCCTGTCTGTTCCCCTGTGGTCAATTTTACCTGCCATATTGTTAGGGTAGTAGTGGTGGTGGGTACTGGGTACAAGAGGTCTTTTCTGGTAGATAAGTTGTCAGAACTGGCTTTCCATCCATCCTTCATTATTTGTTCCTTCTGAAGCTCTGTACCTGCTGATTCAAAATCATGAGCTGTCCAATTATCAACACCTTAACCTGTGGCTTTTTCTTGCTTTGAGGAGCTTAAGTTACTAGCCATACAGAAGACTGGAAGTGTAAATAACCCAGCTCCTACACCACTCCAGAAACTAACCCTGAGATGCAATCTACATACACTCCCAGAGTTTTCCAGCAAGATTAAGCCTCAGTTGCCCTCTGTAACTGCCTTGATAAAAAGTTCTCTGTATGCTGCCTACCCCTCCTTGCCCCACTTTCCTGGCTCTCTAACAATATTTCTTCATATTACAAACGAACTACCTGCATTCAAACCACTGGCTCACACTCTGCTGCTCAAGGAACCCAATCAGGTACACCACTGAGTTGCTAACTTCCCGTGTCTAATTGCGTTGACCTAGGGTAGTCCCGAGTTTCTAATTCACCTCTAAGTCTCTGCTGCTGGCTCATCCTAAACCTGAAGTCATTTCATTGGACCTAATATCCTCATATTCTAATTAGACTTTGACAGTTCCCCAAACTAAAGGAAAAGTCCTTTCTGCCTACGGGTCTGACCACTAGGTGAATACATGGTCACCTGGACACAATAGCACTATCCATGTGACTTATCTACCCACAGCCCCAAATCCAGTAGCAATCTTCAGTCCCTGAAAGGCTGCTTGTAAATAATGACAATGACTGGGTTCACCTTGATCTTCTGCATATTGTAACTAACCCTGATAGTCTCCTTTTCAGGTATAAGTAGAACTATATATTGACCTCTAGCTTAGTTCTAGCTCTCTGCTCCCCTCTGGCACTGAACATAGAAAAGACCTTGGAGCCATGGCTATAAATGCCTTTATATAAAACTAGAACTATCTGGGAACACTGCTTTAATTTTTTTTTAAATAAACCTTTAATACAAAACTCTTTTTGATACTTTTTTACATTTCAGTATATTTCAGCTCAAAAAACAGGTTGTGTAGCTCAAGTGGCATATATTATCATAAGGACATGAACATTCAATTCCATAATCCTTGATTCAAGCCATTGGCAACATTTTCTCAATAAGAATTGAATAGTCCTATAGTTTTATGGACTCAGGTGACTACTAAAAGTAATAGAAAATTCTAGCTCCTCGAGAGTCTTAAGAACACTTATCTAGCTGTTGGGCTCTGATAGGGACATTAACTGAGCTTCTTAAAAAATCAAAACCACATAGGATTGTACATTTTATCACAGCCTTTGGTCTTCTGTGGTCACACTAACTTGAATTGAATTTACCTTTCTGGTCAATGACCATACACTTATGGTGAGACCTATTCCACTACTTATAAATTATATTAAAGTTCAAACTTTCAAGTAATGTTGTTAATAAGAAAAAGTGCAGTCTCTCTATCCCAGAGCAATAACAGGAGGAAAAAAAAAACTTGCTATGTGCATGGAGTCTAAATGGCACGCCACCCCCATCCCAAACAAGCCACAGTGCTTCAGCAGGGGTGGGGTGAAAGGGTGAAATGGATAGGAAAAAACAGAAACATGGATAAAATTATATAAATAACTGTTGTTATTCTTGGACGGTGAATGCAGATCAACACTTGAATGAATGTTGCCTTACAGAAATTTCAGTGCACAATGAAGCCTTGTTGTTGCTCTCAAAATTGTTCAAAGCCAGAAGCCAAGAAAAAGTTTTCAGATATCTTGACAGAGACCCACAATGGAGTGTTTTACCAATGGCTCCAAGAGAAACCGCTATGAATGCTATTTTTATTCAGATTATGACACACATACACACACACACACACACACACACACACACACACACACCCCATACATATATATCACTTATGGCGCTTCTGATAACCAAAGTATTCCATTTCGTAAAAAAGGAAAAGAGCAATATCAAAATAGTAACACAATTGCTTAGGGCTTAGTTTTTAAATACCAGTCTGTTTAATGGCACAAAGGCAAGTACCTTTTTTTGTAAAATATTTGTTATGCCTAGAGGCTCTTAATATAATTTAACCTATTATAGAAATGGCTTTAGCTTTTAGTAAGTTAGTATATGGTAATAGTGACAATTACTAAAGAAGGTTAAATATTATTAGATAACTACTAGCAATGCTATTATTATTGAATAATGTATAATATCTATTATATATATATATATATATAATGTAACACTAAAGGTAAAGCCACATCTCTATATTGGAAAATTAAAATAAAATAAAGCTTGCAATATCAACATAGTAAAAATTAAAAGAGAGATTGAGGGAGACATTCAAAATCCACATAGGATTGGTTCACAGACCACCAGCCTTGAATTCTTTGATTACAAAAGTACTTATGTTCAGATGATAGCCCTGGTCATTTGTTTCTCAGTATGCCTGGTAGTTAAAAGACGGGCTAGAGCTATAAATTTTGAGTTCAAATCCATGATCAACTTCTTCATAGTAATGTTATATGGAGAAAATCTTATGTTCTACTACATTTTTATTTATTGACTCAACAATTATTATTGAGCAATTACTTATTTACTGTCACCAGTAAATACGACAGTGCAAATTCCCTATCCATTGTCAAGACTATATTAAATTATAGAGCATATTGGAATATAAGTACTAGCAAATAAGAAAAGAAATAAAAATATAAATGGGACGGAATAAAGGGATACGAACCGGCAGAATTTCCCATTGAAGTTTTAGTTAATGGTGACCAGGGCTGACTTGTTGAGAAGCTACTTTGAGAAGGAAATAGGTAGTGCTACATAATGTTTATTGTAGCTGTAACAAACAACCACTTCTGTGGAAGCATAAGATGCCACACAGATTTATGACATTGAGGTTCTGAAGGTCAGAAATGCAAAATGGGTCTCACTGGATGGAACTCGAGGTTTCCTTTAGCTTCATTCCTTCTGGAGCTAAGGAGAATCCATTCCCTTGCCTTTCTCAGCTGTGGGAACTTCCTGCTTCCCCTGCCTGCTGGCCACATCAATCCAGCCTTTGCTCCTGTTATCTCATCTCCCTCTCTGGCTCTGACACTCATGCCTCATGTTTCCTTAAACATTAAGTCTTCTAGGCTAAGATAGGATCACCCCCTATCTCAAGGTCCTTAATCAGATCTGCATGTGAAGTAAGAGGTTCCAGCCATTAGGTGTGGACAGCTTTGGCGTACCTCACCAATTAGCGAGGACATTTTCCTCCATGATGTACCTCAGTCTTAATCAAGTGATCTCTCTTCTCTTGAAACTGCACTGAAAGAGCCAAATCCTAACCCAAATGTAAATTAACCATTTCCACGAGGGTTCAAAGAAATGAAAAGACAGACCATTGTCTTAAAGCCTCAAGAATCAGCATGATTCTTCAGCTTCATTCCTTGCTTCATCCAGAGCAGAGGGAAATTTTCCTTACTCTTCTCAGTTTCAGGCACCTCCATGCCATTTATAATGTGCAGACTTACATATGTTTTGCATATAGACCAAGCAGAGATTTCCTACCCCCTGAACTCTGGCTGCTCCCAGATGCCAACAGTCAGGAGCCTCCCCCATCCAGGCAGAGGAAGTAGCAAGGGATGGAAGGAGCCACTGCTTTACAGACTCATTCTCCTCTGGATTTCCTGCCTCCTTCGCCTGCCAAACCTCACTTCTGAAAAGCCAGGCTTCACCTTCTGTTTGTCAGGTCAGTTGTGAAACCAATTTCATATCAAGCTCTAACAGATGAGCTTCTGGGGTGTAATAGGCTTAAAGCGGAAGCCAGGACCTCCCATTAATGTACTGTGAGTTCAAAAGCTGAATGAGAGCCACTGGGAAGCTGACCGGATGGCACGAACCTGCCCTGAAGCCCATCCTGACAAGCAAAGTCAGTGTGCACCCTGGGGAAGGGGGTACACTCAGCTGCAAGATGGTTCCCATGTTCCCATGTTCCCCATAAACTGGATTTGTGGCTTATTATTTGCTCATCTTCAGACCAGAGATGTGACAAGCTGGGGATCCACAGCCACTCCTGTGCACACAGACAGCTGAAAAGAATCTTTGTTTCATGGTCCTTCACGTCATCTGGGCAGAAGCCCAGGAGCAATGGAAAAGGGAGAAAGTAAATCCCCCTCCCCGCTCCTCACTGAGTGGCCCCAGTTTGGAAGGAGTAAGAGGAACCAGCCAGAATTAGTAACCATGTCATCTCATCCACCTAATTAGATACCTCTGCAAAATGCACTTTGCTATGCAAAAAAAAAAGAAGAAAGAAAGAAAGTATTTAAGTTTCAAAGAACAAACAGAACAATAAAAACAAACCCTGCTCTATTATTATTATTATTGTTAGCAGGAGTGCTTTTGCAGGAAGGAAGAAAAGTAATAGCAAATTCCTTTTCAAATGACCAAAGGGAAATAATGAGGAATGTTTCTCAAAAGAAGCCAAGATAGTGGGAAACTAATTATTTTAGAAAGTCTCAAAGAAATTAGGTAGTCAAAATAGATAAATAATGTAATTACAGGTTGTATGTTAGGGAAGTTTGAGGTCATCTGCTTTCTGACGAGTTTGGCAAAGTGTAGGATTATGTCAGAGGTTTTGTTTTTGTTCTCTTTAAAGACAGGTTGTTTGGGTAATACGTGAAGCAGCTTTATTGGCAAGCCCGAAAAAGGACAGTGCATTCTCTCTCTGGATTGGTCCACTACAGGTACCATACACAGAAATAATATCTTAACCTGCCTGGATGAATCTGAGCAATAACATCATACTGTTAATTTACACCTGGCTCAACCACAAGATTTTATGGACAATAGTTTATACTTGCATATGTACATACCAAACACAGGTAAATGACAATTATGTGTCACATGTACAAGACTATATAGAGACTTACAATTTACACGGTAGAAGAGATACATCCTAATCTGATTATATAATGTATCAAATTATTGGTTTCCAACAATCCTTTTGTCCTTACATAGAATTCTGATTTGATTTTTAAATCTGTTTAGTGTGGGACTCTTAGAAGGGTAGACAGAGTATGCATGTCTGACTTCTTTTGTTTCCCCTCTTTTATCCTTTTTCAACCTCCCAAACCCAGTTGCTCTAAACACAATGAAAATATACACAGTGAGGAATGGCTGCTATGGAATGAGGTTAAGTCTCCCAAATCCATCCCTCATCATCTCACACTCTGCTGGCTGCTGTGGAATTCCACCACCAAAAAGTCCTCCTGTAACCCTAAGTTGGATCTCTGTTTGGATACTTACAGCCCTAAGGATGATCACACATCAGTCACACATTGGTATTAAAAAAAAAATCCAAGGGATGATTTTTCTGGGAACTATAGGAAAGAAAAAGCAATAGGGAATAGAGGTCTAGACTTAGGATAAGTTGAACTCTCAGTAAGTTCCACTGAGTTCCCACCTCCAACTCATTTCTAACCCTAAAATACTGCAAGAAATGGGACAATACTCAAAGTTAATATAAAGGCTGAATGAACTAATAAAAATCATCCCAGTTCAATTTAACATTATTGGATACATAGTTTTTGCTAAGATGACTGATTGAGTGAATGAATGAATCTTGATCCATGGATGAGCCACATGAAAGCAGAATATTGCTGAAAGGGGTAGAAGATGAAGGATCGAAGATGTGGTTTCTTTCACTTCAATTCTTTTCAAGTTTTTTTTAGCCCTAGATGTTCCTAATCCAATTAAAAATAATATCTAAAAATGGCTATTTGATTTCAACACACAAGAAATAGGGAACCAAGATCATGGTAACAAATTGTTGTCTATGTTAAATTCATTTTCTTTCATCTGTATGGTATTTAGTACATATCAAAGCTCCAATGCGCTCTGGCACATAAATATATTTTAATTTTATAAGTATTTGGCAACTCATGGCCCCGTTTTATAGCTCTAATCTGTGACACCCACAAAGAAGATGTTATTTGCTAGAGAGTATGTGGACATTTAGCAATGACAGTTACTAGAACCCAGTGCCTATCATGCCTAGACAAGATAGATCCCTTTTTCCATGTGTTATTCTTTAAATATGAGGTGTAGTCCCAAACCTCCTGTTAATGTAGGAATATCCAAGGTGAAATGATTGTATGGTAAGCACTGTACCCTGTAAGTCCATCCTATTTTGAATGGGCTAAGTGGATGGTAACTGTAGGCAGGCCGGGTTTGGCTGGAGAAAGTGTTCACTAATGGGGCACATCTTCCCTGTGGCCTCTCCCACCCGCTCTGCTTCCTGGCCTTGAAGAGTTGAGCAGCTTTCCTCCCACAATGCACTGCCTCACCTTGGGGCCCAGAGCCATGGAGTCTGCCATCTATGGACTGAGACCTCTGAAACTGTGGGCCCCAAATAAACTTCCCCGCTGCTGAGTTGTTCTTGTCAGGTGTTTTGGTCCCAGTGGTGAAAAACCGAATAACACAGCACACTTCAGACTCTTTGGAGATGTAATTCCCCAGAACACCTTCTGGAAACTGGGCAAAGCCTCTGTTGTCAGCTCATGGCAAGCCAAGAGGACGAGCAAATCAGCCCAGGGACCACACCACCATCCTTACCTGAGTTGAGGAGGCAGCTTGAACCTGTTCCTCACATCATCAAAGCGGTTTCCCAGGTAAGGGGTGTCCACGGTCACGAATATGGCCTTGTAGCCCATCTGCTCTGCTCGCTTCACCAGCTGCCTGGTGACCTCACGGTCCTTGTAGATGTACAGCTGCAGCCAGCGAAGGGCCTCAGGACCAGCCTTGGCCACTTCTTCAATTGAGGAGGTAGCCCAGGAACTCAGCATCATGCCAGTTCCCAGGGTCTGACAGGCTGAGAAAGAAAGGAGACTATCAAAGCAGGTCAGCTATCTCTCCCTCTCCCAAGCCTTTAAGTTGTAGATCAGTGGGCAAAGACCTTCCCCAGAGCAACTTGGCAATAGGAAGCCACATCTGTAAAATATTGGAAATGTATCCTTTGTGTATGTGGCTTCTATGTAACATCAAAGATTTGCCATATACATATGGGAATATTGAGGGAAACCTGAATGTCTAATCTTGGAGGATTGGTTTACCAGTAATTCCCACACAAAATTAAATATGCACCACAAACATTAAAGTAATGTTATTGTGCTGGTTAATTTTATGTATTAACTTGGATAGGCTGTGTTACCCAGATATTTGATCAAACACATCTGTGTATTGCTGTGAGGGTATTGATAGATTAGATTTGCAGATTATCCACTGTGATGTGGATGGGCCTTGTCTAATCAGTTGAAAGTCTTAACAAAAGACTATTTCCCAAAGAAAAAGGAAATCTGCCAGCAGATTTAGATTTTAACTTTAGACTTGAGCAGCAATCTTGACTTTTCCCTAGTTCTCCTCTGTGCTGTCTAACCTGCAGATTTGAGATTTATCAGACTCCATAATCATGTGGGCCAACTCCTTAAGGTAAATCTCTATCTCCTGTGAATAGATAAAGAAATATAGGTAGAGATAGATATTGATTTAGATACATATTTGTGTGTGTGTGTGTGTGTGTGTGAGAAGAGAGAGAGAGAGAGAGAGAGAGAGAGAGAGAGAGAGAGAGAGAGAGAGAAAGTCTATTGGTTCTGTTTCTCTGGATAACCCTATTACAGTTATTTTTATAAAATGTTCACAGTCATACCAAGTTGTTTGAGATATAGATATTTTAAGGAAAAACATTCTACAAAACGTATAATTCCATATTTGTTCAAATTATAATTATTGGTATAGGAAACTAAATAAAATACATGTTTACCATGGGAAAGATAATTGTCAGTGAGTTTAATTTTTCTTCCTTTATTTTTCTTATCTTTTCTTCCTTAGTTTTTAAAATTTCATTTTTAACGATGTATTCTACCACATATTTTGTTTTACAGTTTTAAAAAGGTGTATATGTTTGAAATCTCAAGTAGACTCAACATTTCTTGAGCAAGATAGCAAGAAACAAGAAACAAAATGAAAAATTAGTAAACAAACATTTGTCTTAGAAGACTTTAACAAATATGGATCTTGGGTTTTCCTCCAAAAGTATTAAAATTGGAGTCAACTTAGTGGAGGAAAAATTGATAGAATGTTTGAATACTATATAGAGGAGGACAGAAGATACATTATAAATATCTAAAACTGACTATATGACTCCAGGTGTTTGGCTGCTCTTAGTGCCTTGTCCTACCAACTGGGAGTAAATGTAGTTACAAAGTGACACTCATAAGATAATGATGATAAATTGGTAAGATGCTACTTACAACGTTGCACTTGCAGGTTAAAATGTTTCTGTACTATAGAGCATGGTGGTGCACACCTGTATGTAATCCCAGCTACTCAGAAGGGTAAAGCAGGAGGATTGCAAGTTTGAGGCCAATCTAGATAACTTAGGAAGACCCCATCTCAAAATAAAAAAATCAAAAGTGCTGTGGATGCAGCTCAGTGGTAACGTGTTTTTCTATCATGCCTAAGGCTCTGGGTTTGATCCCAACCACTGTCAAAATACCAAAAAAAAAATTTTTTTTAAATTTTAAAAAACAATAAATAAATAAAACTTCTGTGCTTCTCAAACTTTAGCTAATAGCAATAACCAAGTCCCTGGAAGGCTTATGAAAATAGATTTCTGTGTCCCACCTTCAGTGTATGATTACACAGGTCCAAGATGGGGCTCCAAGTTTTCCTTTCTAACAAGGAAAACTTGTTACAATAGTGATGCTGCCAGTGCTGAATCACACTCTGACATTTAAGTAGTAGCATCACTAGTTGATAGTAAAAGTCCAAGTTCAAACAGTAATAAAATGGATTTGGTGTTTGAAAAATGCTACTTTTCCCATGACTTTGAAGGTGATTTCATCCTTGTTCTCAGGTCATTTGGGCACATTCAGAAGATGTAAGCTGGAGATCATTAAGTTTATGGGTCATTAATATGTTGCCCCAAGAGTTCCTCCGAGAATTTCTATCGTAGGGTCTTATGACTTGCAAATTGTTGTCCAAGAAAAACCCCATATTTTTCTAAGCAATAACACATATGAACATCTGGACCATTGTCTGATTTTCATTAAGATTTGGAAATATGGAAATAATGCCAGGGGACATTGATTGCTTGGGTCAGAATCTTCTTAACCATCAACTTACCACAAAGAAAGGATGTCCTGGAGAAGATGTGACCTAACTAAGGTCACACAGTGTTTGTTGGACAGCAAAGTAGCATAAAAAACCAAGTACATCTGATCATTCCTCCAGGGAAAGGATCTTTCTAGAACTCTCAGATGTCCAAAAGACTCTCTGGTATCAAGCATGGATGAATTTACTTCTTCTGTATTTCATAGTCATGATCTCCAAGAGAGTAGGTTTGCCATGTGCCTGAGAGATGCTAGCATAGTCACATCTCTGAGGAGGCACAGAATCTTGGAATTCAATGAGAAGATCTGCCATATGCCAGAGGTGCAGTGAGGTGGCACAAAGGAGATCCAGCAAAGAGGACCACTCAGATAAAGGGCATCTTTTTATAAATAACACTAAAGCATCCTGTAGGCTTAGCAGTGGCTCTGCCAACAATAACATCGAAGTCTGCAAAAAGATTTGCTTGATTTCATAAGAAATAG